GGAAAGCTGTGAGCGCCGATGCTGACATTCTCTATGTGTCATGGTTTGAATGAATTTCTTTCAGGTTAGAGGCGAAATGTTAAGGATATTTTTGTATATTCAAGGTTTTTTTTTTCAAGAAAGGAATTGATTTCATTGTTGACTCAGCAATGAAAGTTTCTATTAGGTATCCCATACAGCTGGTCGGTGCCCCAATTGTCCCACAGTCAGAGTCAACTTTGCTGTTACTCTTTAATAAACTATTCTCTGACTGCCAACATTTTCCCAAAACTGACTAAACCACAGCTCAGTTTTGTTTGTGCATGCCCATGCTCCCCAATGTAATGTAGCTGTGGTCTTTGTAGAAGCACCAAGTAGGGTAACAACATAGCAAACCAGTAAGACATAATCGGCAGCTTTAAAAGCATTGATACAGCCTCCACACAACGACATCTCAAGAACCTTGACAACATCCAGGACAAAACAACCCTTTTGATTGGCACCACATCCTCAAACATTCGCTCCCTCCACCACGGATGGTCACTTGCAGTAGTGTTTACCATTGACAAGCTGCCATGCAGAAATTCACCTTCCAGGCCTATGGCCACAAGCATCTAGAAGGATAAGGGCAGCAGCTACATGCGAACACTGACACTTGTAAGTTCCCCTCCAAGGCACTCACCGTCCTTCCCTATCGCTGGGTCAAAGTCCTGGCAATCCCTCCCTGATGGCATTGTGGGTTTACCTACACCAAATGGACTGCAGCGGTTCAAGAGGGCATCTTCTCAAGGGCAACTATGGATGGGCACTAAATGTGGGGCCAGCCAGAGACACCCACATTCCACAAATGAATAGTCCTGGGGTCTGCAGTTGGGGCAGAGGGAAGAAGCCATATAGAAGAGCCCATTGGAGTTTAGATTGGACGATCCCAGAGACATTGTGGCTGGAGGGCCCGGATATGCTTGGTGTGCTTTGGGGTATGGGGTCCTCTCTTGCCTGGGGTCGAGCAGGTTGGTAGTCTCCGGCAGTCCTCCATGTGCCAGCAACCTGGGGTAACTATTCCTGCGAAGACATGGCAGTGACTAGTGTGTATTCCTGACTGTACATACCCACAGAGGGTGCAGGAGGCAGCCTGGTGCGTGCATCCTCTGAGGACTTGTGGCTTCTTCCACCGAGCT